CTCTTCTTCCACTTATCTTCGGAGGGGGTTATATGTTCTTGTCTTGGCAGGTGAGATAATGAGAGAGATGAAGGGCTAGGTTAACTGTCGTTGTCGTCGCGAGGAGAGCCAAACCAGGGGGATTGGCAGCTATGCAAGAGAGAGAGAGAGGAAGAAGATTGAAAAAATATAGGGGATAGGGTTTTCTGATTTTTTTTATTTGTTTGTGTTTATGTTTTTGTTTATCGATCCGAGGCTATGTTTTGAAAAGAAAGGGTTGTTAAGACATTATTTTAAATATAAAAGCAAATTTATAAATAAACATATATGTTTTATTTTTATTTTTTTTCTAGCGCTAATTATCAAGAATACGGGATGTCATGTTGGTGCACTACAATTAGCTTATAAAATAAATATATTTAATAATGTTATAATTATAAACTAATATTATATAATTAATATAAATTAAAGGTATAATTGAGACAATATTTCATAACAAAAAAAAATTATATTAATAATAAAAAATTTAAAGATTGAATAGTATTTTGTGAGGAAAGATATAATACTTTCCTTATATGATTTAGTTTTTCTGTTAATAAAAAGAAAAAAATATAAAGTTAAATTCTTTACCAACTTAATATTAAAAAAAATTAACAAGCATAATTTTAAAAGAAAAAACTCATAAGAAAAAATATTGAAGCAATTGACAATGTTTTATAAGAAAAACTATAGTGCTTTCTTCAATAAAATTGATAAGTATAATTTTAGAAAAAATCATAAAAAAATCATTTAGAGAAATACTGTAGCAATCCATTGTATTTTATGAGAAAAATTACAATGCTTTCCTTACATGATTTAGCTTTATTTTAATTATAATTCTTAACTAACTCGATATTAAAAAATAAAATTGATAAAGATAATTTAAAAAAAAATATCAAAAAATCATGTGGGAAGATAATGCAATAATTCACAATGTCTTAAAGAAAAAAAATTACAAAGCTAAATTCTCAATTAGCTCAATATTAAAAAAATAAAATTAACAAAGATAATTTAAAAAAATATATATAACAAAAAAAGAAAAGAAAAAGAACCATGTTGGAACACTATAGTGATTCACAGTGTTTTGTGATGAAAATTAAAATGCTTTTCCATATGATTTAGTCTTATTTATAATTACTTGTAATTCTAATTATAAACCAATTCAATATTAAAAAAATAAAATTGACAAAAATAATTTTTAAAAAAATTATAAGAAAAAAACCATGAGAAAAGACACTGTAGCAATCTACATTGTTTTGTTAGGAAAACTACAGTGTTTTCCTTCACATGAATAAACTTTATTATATAGTTAAATTCTAACAAGCTCAATATCAAAAAAATAAAATCAATAAAGATATTTTAAAAAATATAAAAGAAATTAAAAAAACATGTAAGAAAAAACTTTAGCAATCCATAGTGTTTTGTGAGAAAAGTTAGAGTCTTTTCCTCACATAATTTAGCCGTACTCGTATTTACTTGTAATTGTAATTCTTAACCAGCTTAATATTTAAAAAATAAAATTGATTAAGATAGTTTTAGAGAAAAACGTAAAAAACACGAGGGAAAAAAACGGTAACAATCTAGAGTAATTTGTGAGGAAAGCTATAGTGCATTCCCCAAATATTATAATTACAATTCTTAATTAACTCAATATTAAAAAATAAAATCAAGAAGGATAATTTAAAAAAACAAAAAAAAGCATATGGAGAAACATTCTTGTAATCAACAATGTTTTAAAGAAAAAAATTACAAATCTAAATTGTCAATCAACTCAATACTAAAAAAAAAAATCAACAAATATAATTTTTAAAAATAAAAAAATCTTGTAGAAAAATACCATAGCAATCCACTGTATTTTAAAGGAAAGAAATTACAAAACTAAAATTTTAACCAGTTCAATATTAAAAAAAAAATAACAATGATAATTTTGAGGAAAAAAGAAAAAAAGAGAAAGTATTGTAGGAAAAAAAATACTATAATAATTCACAATAACATGTAAGAAAAGATACAGTACTTTCCTATATGTTTTAACTATATATATAATATAATAAACAAATCATGCAAAAAAATATCATAGCAATATATAATATTTTTTAAAAAAATTATAAAGCTAAAATTTTAACTTGCTCAATATTATAAAAGTAAAATTAACAAAGATAATTTAAAAAAAAAACAATTTTGCAATTCACAATAACATATGTTGAAATTACATTACTTTCCTCACTTGTTTTAATTTTATATATAATTTTGTTTTTTACTAAAACTATTTTTTTTAATTATATAGGATAGATGATAACAAAGTCAAGTTTGAATAAAAAGAAAAAAATCCCACTAAATTTATAATCTGGAACAACTTGGGTTACCCTCACAATTAAATAAATTATTTTAACCTTGTAAAAAGATAAAATGAGAAAAAATAAATTATAAAACTTAATTTTTAAATACATTAATATTAAAAAAATCAAAAAATTTAAAAAAGTGAAAAAAAATACTGCAAAAAAGTGAAAAAATGACAAAAAAAAAGGAATGCATTATATATTACTTGTAATCTAGAGTGCAATTGATGTAAATGAACTATGAATTCTACACACCTTTTTGCTTTTGTATTAATAAAATTTTATTTATCTTTAAATTTCATGTTGAAAGGTGTAATATTTAAAAATTTCACTGTAAAATAAAAAAGTAATCAAATTATAGAATATCAGGATACTTAGAGCAACGTACTTGAACTAAATTTGATAAATTAAAAAATTGATGAGAAATAAAATTTAAAATAAATTTTAATATTTAAAATAACTCAAATAAAAAATATTTTTTAAAGAATTAGAATTAAATCAGAAGAAAAAATAAATTGAAGGGTATGAAAATTTAAAAGTCCGGCATGAAAACAAAAAAACTAGTGCCAAACCGGAGGGAATTACACAATACATCCTTCCAGGGAGGTGGGCCCTCCTATAACGAATCAAAAAACTCCATTAAAGGTTAATTTTTTGTCACTATAAGCCAATGCAAATTGTCACTCCAACACGATGAAGTGGTCTCTTCATTATCAATATACTGCTAACAACCTTTTATTTTTAAGTTTTTTATATTTATCCAAACATTAATTTTTTCTCTAAAATTATAAAATAATCACAGAAACAAAAACAAAAATAAAAACAAAAACAAAAACAAAGATACAAACAAGCCATTGGAGACAATGTAAGAAAATCTTGATATTAAAGACAAAGAAATCATTTTATTGTGTCGTGAAAAGTGAAATATAAGAAAACTCTAGATTCAATTTAAATAATATTTTTATTTTAAACTCTGTTTGTTTGCAGGAAAGTTGTTTTTTTTTAGAAAGTGAATTTCAGAAAAAATAAATTCCTCAAAAGTGAATTATTTTTCGATATTTGGTAGTGTTATGAAAAATGAACTGAAAAATACTTTTCAGTGTTTGGTTATGTTATGAAAAATGGACTGAAAAATAACTTATTAATTTTTTATTTTTCTCAAGTTTATTAAAATAACGAGGAACAAATCTTACAAATTAAAAGGTTAAATGAGAATGAAATTGAAAAAAATATAATTTTATAAATTATCTCAAATAAAATAAATAATAGTCAAAATAATAAAGATCAAATCTAAAAAAAAAGATTAAAAAATTAAAATAATAATAATTAACATTTCATAAAGTATTTCAAATAAAATAAATAATAATCAAAAGAATGATAATCAAATTTGATAGATAAAAAAATTCAATAAAAAAATAATAGAAGAAAAGTAAATAATAATTATAAAAATGAGGACTAAAGTTAATATAAAAATTAAATTTTAAGAAATTAAATTAAAAAATAAATATTCAAAACAAAATATATATAGCAAGCAAAAGTTTGAGGATCAAATTTAATATAATCAACAAATAATGACATTTCTAAATTTTTCACAACTTTCAGAAAGTGTTTTCCGCCCAAATTTTCTAGGAAAACACTTTTCTAAAAACCAAGCTAAATTTTCTTTTGACTGAAAAACATTTTTCGGTGACCAACTTTTCTAACAGCAAACAAACACAAGAAAATTTGGAAAATAATTTCTCAAAAATTACTTTTAAAAAAACAAATACAGCCAAAAAGAAAAATACTTTCCTAAAAATCAAGTCAAATTTTTCTTTAACTGAAAAGTGTTTTTCGTTAACTGGAAAGTGTTTTCTATTAACCAATTTTTCTAATAATAAACAAATATAAAAAAGTTTGAAAATCGATTTTTTAGAAATTATTTGATGTGAAACAAATATGTTCTAAAAGTAATTATGTAAGAATATTAAAAGAAATGTAAAAAAATAAGCCATGCAATTTTAAAATTACCAATGAAATTTGTGGAAAGTCGTAATTACCATCGGGAAAATAATAATTTCACTTTTGTTAGATACCCACTTTGTTGCAATTATTCCAATTAGACTGATGATTTGAAAACTATCGTAGAGATGCTGCTTCTTATCTAGCTGAGAATAAAAGATGATGTGACATTTGTGCTATACATGTTCTTTATTACTGGTCTTTTTTGAGCCACGATAATCTTCTTGCTATTTTCTTTTCGGTTTTGTTGCTGATTCCTCATTCAGAACTTGTGCAGAGCAAAAAAGCTAGGCCGATATGAATTGATGGCTACTCAATTTATTTGGTCGTATGGTCGAAACATTTCAACTCAAATTCAAATCTAGACAAAGGTCGAGCTAGCATGATTGCTTCTTTGGCAGACTTGATCAGAGGCATATACTTTAACAAACTTCAACTGTGTTTCTTTTATAATCCACAGATAGCTTCATCAAGGGGTTAACGTAATACACCTTCAAACGACAAGGAGATTCGCCATTGGCAAATTGATCATGGCGACACTATTTCTCTATTTTCCTGTTTTTTTAGCCTTGTATATGATCACAAGACACCTCCTAGACAAGATCCAAACTATTTCTCTATTTTCCTGTTTTTTTAGCCTTGTATATGATCACAAGACACCTCCTAGACAAGATCCAAACCCTCCCGCCTAGTCCATTCCTTTCACTCCCGATCACCCTCCCGCCTAGTCCATTCCTTTCACTCCCGATCATTGGCCATCTCTACCTGTTTAAGAAGCCAATTTACAGGACCCTGTCCAATATATCCAATCGATATGGCCTCGTTGTCTTGCTACGACTCGGATCCCGTCGAGTCCTTGTTGTCTCATCCCCCTCAATAGCTGAAGAGTGCTTTACCAAAAACGATGTAGTCTTTGCTAACCGCCCTCGTCTACTCATTGGAAAACACCTTGGTTACAACTGTACAAACCTTTTTTGGGCATCCTACGGTGACCACTGGCGAAACCTTAGAAAGATCGTGTCTATTGAAGTCTTATCTGCATATCGCCTCCAGATGCTCTCTGCCACACACCTAGAGGAGGTAAAATGGATGATCGGCGGGCTCTATCGTAATCAGAACCAGGTGGTGGATATGAAGAAAGCATTCCTCGAACTAACTCTGAACATCATCATGCGGATGATAGCTGGAAAGAGGTATTATGGAGACGATGTTTCTGATGTGGAACAAGCACAAAGGTTTCGCGCGATTCATGCTGAGATGTATACGCTAATTGGCCAAACCATAATCGGAGACTACGTACCCTGGATTAAATCAAGGAAGATGGAGAAGAGATTGATAGAGTGCCGAGTGAAGAGGGACAGTTTCATGCAGTGTTTGATTGAAGAACAAAGGAGAGTTTTGGAGAGTGATAGTTGTGGTGAAAGGAAAAGGACTATGATTCAGGTTCTGCTTTCATTGCAAGAAACCGAACCTGAGTATTACACGGATGATATTATCAAAGGGCTTATGCTGGTGAGATCTGCAATCACTTGCTCAATTTACAAAACATATATTCTCATCAATAGGGTAATTAGACCATAATTCAAAATCCGCCCGTACTCTATTTTGGGAATCGTCAAACTTAAAATGACTGCGATCTGATGAAAAAATTGTCTTATTTTATTAGTCATTTTGCAATGGGAATCATTGAAATTAAGATGACAGTGGAATGTGATTGAGAAACATGATAAAGCGTCAACGCTGTGCAACTGTTCTAAACATGGTGGATGAAATCTGCTGGACTTGTAGTGTTGTATTACTAAAATATTCAAGTAACTGCAATACACAGGTCATAATAATTTCACAGCCATTATGGATTTGGTAGATCACTTCATGGTAATTCGGTCTGCGTCGCTTTTGTCGACTCTCTAACTGCTACTGATCATCACAATATCTTGTTTCCGAGTGCAGGTGCTCCTATTTGCAGGAACAGACACCTCATCTAGTATAATGGAATGGGCACTTTCACTCCTGCTCAACCATTCGGAAGTCCTCCTAAAGGCTCAAAAAGAAATCGACGAGTATATTGGACCTGATCGTCTAATTGATGAAGCGGATCTTGCCCAACTTCCTTATCTCCGAAGCATCATAAATGAAACACTAAGGATGTACCCACCAGCTCCGCTGCTAGTACCTCATGAATCATCTGAGGAATGCCTGGTTGGAGGTTTCCGCATTCCATGTGGCACTATGCTATTTGTGAACATGTGGGCCATACAAAATGACCCTAAAATCTGGTTGGACCCAAAAAAATTCAGGCCTGAGAGATTTAATGGCCTGAAGGGGGCAAGAGATGGTTTTAGGCTGATGCCTTTTGGGTATGGCAGGAGGAGCTGTCCTGGAGAAGGCTTGGCCTTGAGAATGGTGGGGTTGGCATTGGGCTCCCTGATTCAGTGTTTTGAGTGGCAGAAAATGGGTGATAAATCGGTGGATATGACCGAGAGGCCTGGTTTCACCATGGCAAAGGCCCAGCCATTGAAAGCCATATGTCGGCCACGCCCAAGCATGCTCAAACTTTTTTCTCAGCAAGTATTTAGGGTATTTAAAAATATTTAAGAGTATAATAACTATACATATTTTAATTTTTGAAGTATATTTTACTTTAAAAAATATTAAATTATCATTTTTAATGGTTTTTGACAATTTTTAATATATTATTGTCAAAATTAAAAAATAGTTATTTTAATATATTTCCAAATAAAAAAACTTTTAAAAAACAATAAAAAACAAAACCAACTACATACATTCTGCCATGACTCATGACTCCAGTTTGACACGAAGACGGCGGTCTAGCCACATGTGTTGCTTTGTGAATGGCAAATAAATTGCCCGTTAAATCGTGGATCCGGGCATGCATGGCCCATGTTATTAGAGATAAAAAGCTTTATTAATGATGGGAACCAGCAATAATACACGCACATGCATCATAGACAAAGGAGGATGAGAAAACAAAATGGCTGCCTTCGCTTTGAGCCCTCGATCGCACGAGTAATTTTATTGTACATCATGTCTCTTGTCTCTAAGCCTGTTTCTTACCCATTCTGGATGTGCATAGCAAGCAATGTGAACAAGAAATTGGAGGATTGTCACTTGCAGTACGATCAAACATTATGTGATGTTTTTTGTCAATGAAATGAGGCCTTCTCTTGTCTTTGTCACCTTCTGGTGGGGTCTTGGTGCTGGTGGAGATATGCAATGTCACGCAAGTACATCAGAAGCCTCTTTTAGCCTCCTAAGCGTATACCTAGATCTACTTGACATGGGTGATAAAAAACATTCCAAAAAGGGAGTTGATTTTACTGTGGAGATACACACTCTTTGCTATTCATTAAATCATTAAAATAATGGAGTGATGTTTGTGATCTTACTTAAAAAAGAATTGATTGTGATATTTTTAGATGATTTATAATGTATTGTGATTTGTTTGAGAGTAGTTTTTTATATTTAATAGTTTAATAAATAATAAATTAATAAAAACACTCCAAGAGTTAAAAAAATCAAGTCTTTTCTATTATGAGTGGCTTGTATTGTCCAAATATAATTGGTTTATCATGGATGATCCCTTTCTTCTCTCTCATTTTTCTTATTTATTTTAATAAATATATCATGGTTCTCATTGTTATTAATATTTTAAATTCATTTTTTTAATTTTAATATTTGTATTTTTATCATTTTTTATTTTTGATAAGACTTTATTTGTTTTTAATTTAACTATTGGTTTTTAATTTGTATATATATTTTTTTCAATTCAATCCTTCTACTTTTAATTTTTTTATTTTTTCCCTTTGCACTCTTGTAAAATTTTCTATGACTTTTGATGATGATAACAATGATGAATGTGACATCAACAACAACATTAATAGTAATACTACTTATAATAATAATAATAATAATAATAGTGATAATAGTAGAAATAAATTAATAATAAAAAAAATGATATAGGTGGTGGTGGTGATATTAGTGGTAATAAAAGTAATAATAATAATTTATTATAATAATAATAGTAATGATGATAATAATAATTGTAATGATAACAAAAATTATGATGATGATGATGATAATGATGATGATAATAATAATAATAATAATAGTAGTACAGGGAAGAAAAAGAAAAATGATAATAAAAATATTAATAATAGTAGTAGTGATAATAATAATAACAACAATGATAATGACAATAGTTGTGAAAAATAATAATAATATTGTTACTACTACTAAATAATAATAACAATAATAGTGTTAGTAATAACAACAACAACAATAGTTTTAGTAATAATAGTAATAATAATAATAAAAATAATAGTGATGATATTACTTATTAATGATAGTAGTAATTTTGATTTCAATTTTCATTGTTTGAATTGTTGTTTTTTAAAATTAATTTGTATGATTGAAATTCTTTTTTTCTCCTTCAAATTTATCTTTTAATATTTAATTTATTGAAAATTGAACTTCATAATTTTTTCTAGATTATTTACTTTGAGTTTAATAATTCAGATCACTTAACATAATTTTTTTAAGAAAAACTTTATATTTTTTATATTTTTATTTTTATAATTTAAATATTGAATTTGATAGGATATCTCGACTTAACACTAATTAGTGTTGTTACATATTTTTCATGATTGATTTTTCATATTTTTTTTAACCTCATTTCAATACCTAAATATTATTTTTTATATAGGACATAGTTTGGCTCTGCATCCAAGCGATGACACCCAGGATAGTTCATGTGCTTGGATACAAACCTGTCATTTAAGGCTAATTGTGGTCTTAGTACTAATCATTCACATTGTGCCATCCATACGATTTTATTTTATTTTAGATGATAATGTGGGAATCAAATTTGTGTACCATCCGGATCCATAGGTAGTCTCTTCTTCCGATTATTCCCTGTTTCGAACTTCTTCACTTGTATCATGACCATCAAAAACTGAAGCTGTTTATTTCGTTGTGGTTATTGAACGTTGTGTTACAGACTGCGTAAGGGTTGTTCCTTCAATTCATGGATATTTATGACTCCTTTTTTGTTTCTTAAATCAAAAGTAAACGACAGGGAATTGGCTACCATGTGGCAATAAATGCAAGAAATCTACAGAAAGTACCTCAAACATCATCTGCTTCCACGTATGCTATCTTCATTAGCTCAAGTTAATGGCCTTGAGCTGAGATGCCACGGCCTACAAGGCTAAAGCCATGAGATGGTCATCGTTGCTTTTTTGAAGACAATGAGAAGTCAGCATATGCCTTGTCTCGCATCGCTTGCTGTGCTGAATGGCATGAATTCCTTCTTCCATGAGGATAAAGAATGGTGCTCATCGTCCTTCTTTCTGTTAACATTTTCTCGTGGGCCTTTCTGCCGCAATTTCTATCATATCCCATTCATCCACATGATATACGGTGTATTGTTATTATTATTATTATTCCGATTAGGACTTTTCATTTATTATTAATCTTTATTTAAATACAATTTCCTCTCTTCCATCAATTCTCACAACCAAACGATTTCTATAAGTTTATATCATAGCTACTAATAAAACTTTATTTCTTCAACTTATATATATATGGCACGCGAGAGATGCAAGAAAGGAAAGATTAAAAAATGATATGTGCTCATCTCAAAAGAACATGAAGACATTTATTGTTGTCTTAAGTAAATTAGAAATAAGAAACATGAAGACATTTATTTTATCCATTTCCATATGATGTTCAAGAAATAAAAAATTGTTAGAGATATGTGAAACAATAACCTCATCCAACGAATTATCTCAAAGATCTAGTAGCATAATAATTATGTCACTATCTAATTTTAACCATATAAATACAATTATTAAATCAGTATAGCCACATGATTATCATTAATTTAACCCTAATTAAAAAAATCAAGATGGTAATTTATTGTATAACCTGAATTTTAATTTGTTTTATCCAAGTGACATGCATTACAAAAAATACATTGACCCGGTAAAAAAACAACCAAACTCGTTCACACCTTAAATTAATACATTCTTAAATAGCTAAAATATTATTAACTCATAAATCCTTAACCAAGAACGAACCAACAAATTGCAAGAAAAATAAGTTAAGGAACTTAAGCAAGGTTTAACATTCTTGTATAAAAATAGATGCAAAGAACACACCTGAATAGTTTTAGAACTCCTTCAAGCCTAGCCTTTCTAATTGAATCACATTACATATTTTATTTCTTTGTAATTGTAATGAGCAACTCAACCCCAAACTACTTTGATTTTTTCATTCATGTCTTCACATAAATTTACACATGTTCTTTGAAATTATATCTTTAAAAATAACAGACTCATTAATTAGATTATTTATAAAAATATTAACATCCATCATTAAAGATAAGAAATTTTTTTAACTATGTTATTTATGAAAAATTTAACGTCCAATCTAAAAAGAAGAGATTTGTCGGTATAATTTTTATTTTTATTTAATAAATAAATATTTACATATAAATTTATGGAAAAAAAGTGGCTACCTAGTTTTATAAAATGATAATAACATTATCTTGAAGCCGATAAAAATAAAATAAAATCATAATAAAGTAAAAAAATACATGAGTTATGAGTTAAGAGTTATTGGTTTTTTAAAATGGATTAAAATAAAATCATAATAAAGTAAAAAAATGCATGAGTTATGAGTTAAGAGTTATTGGTTTTTTAAAATGGATTTTTTCACAAATGAATATGTAAATAGGCAACATGAAGGTTTTTCCAAATGAAATGAAAGCTATTGTAAATCTATTAAAGTAGAATAAAAAATGCATGAGTTAAAATTTGCTGATTTTTTTTTAAAAATATTTTTTCACACAAATATATAAAAGGGCAACATTATAATTTTACCAAATGAAATGAATACTATTATGAAGCCATTAAAAATAAAATAAAGTAGTAATAAATGAACCAAGAGTAAGATAATAAAAATATTAAATATAAAAAATGTATATAAAAAATTGTTTTCTAAAAAAAAATCTCAAAAATTATAATTTTGATAGAATTACAGTAAAAGAAATTGACAAAATTTACAAGTACACCTTTTTTTATAAGAAAACACCATTTTTTTTATTACATATACAATAATTTATTAAAAACATAATATAACTCTTTCTGTAATCATTTTTTTTTAAAAACTAGCTATTTTAACTAAAATTCAGCCAAAAAAGCATAGAGGACAGATTTATGCTCTCAAAGCAATTTCAAAGTTATAATTTCTTGTTTCTTCAAAGTTCCATTAAAAAAGCCCACCAATTTATCGCTCGTCAATGCATGATTGGCTATATAATATCCTGCTGCAGTGATCATCTATTACCTGAAACCTCCTCTATAATAACCATCATTTAAAAAAAAAAAAAAAAAGAGCCAGTACCACATGAAATCATAAATCCACCATCCTAACAAATTCACATCGGACTTCACCATATCGGAGATTAAGGTCCCCGCTGTCTGCACCTCTCCAGTCCACTCCACAACGGAAAATTCTAATTTAAAACGGAATTTCAAAAATGAGTTCGCCATCTGGAGGAGAGGATTCTAAAGACGACGAAAAAGACGAGGAATCAAACCGTCTGTTGCCCTTGTCATCCTCATCACCATCTCAATCGTTACAAAGCGAGGATTATTCCGATGAAGTAGCATTTGAAGCGCGAGAGAAAATCGTGATCGTTGACGTGGAAGGACCAGACTCAATAGACGCCGTTGATTATGTCCCACCATTCTCATGGAGAAAACTCTGGCTATTCACAGGACCTGGGTTCTTAATGAGCATAGCGTTTTTAGATCCAGGGAATTTAGAAGGGGATCTTCAGGCAGGGGCGATTGCTGGGTACTCTTTGTTATGGCTCTTACTGTGGGCAACAGTCATGGGGTTGTTGATCCAGATGTTGTCAGCTCGTGTTGGGGTCGCGACGGGGCGGCACTTGGCGGAGTTGTGTAGAGATGAGTATTCGAATTGGGCTAGGTATATTTTGTGGTTTATGGCGGAGGTGGCACTTATTGGTGCTGATATACAGGAGGTTATTGGGAGTGCTATTGCTATTCAGATTTTGAGTAATGGGTTCTTGCCCCTTTGGGCCGGAGTTCTAATTACGGCATCGGATTGGTATGTGCTGTGTTGAATTGTTTGTGGTTTATAATTTTTGATTTTTTCTGGATTTACTCTTGAATCCAAATCCTATTGTTTTCTTTTCCATGTTTTTTTTTTTAATGATTTTGACAGGTTTTATAGAATTTGGTTTGAAATAAACTGATAATTTCGGATCGAGTTATATTGTCTTCGTTGTGAAGTTGGGCATCAAGTCAACATTGCTCGTTAATTGTCATTCTCTTCTTTTTGGATAATTCTCTGATGCTCTTCTTTCTTTTTTTTTTAGTTCTGGAAGATAGTAGTTAATATTTGCACTTGTTTGATGATTTGTTTTATTAACTGGGGCTTTTTTGTTCTCTATTTTGTGTTTGTGTGGACAGTTTCATGTTTTTATTTCTAGAGAATTATGGAGTAAGGAAGTTGGAAGGTGTTTTTGCGGTTCTGATTGCGACAATGGCTTTATCATTTGCCTGGATGTGTGGTGATACCAAGCCAAGTGGAAAAGAACTTTTAAAGGGTAAGAATTTTATTTGGTAGAGGAAGTGAAAACTCTGCTGTTCAGTGTTTGGATTTTGTTTCTGTGAATATCTTCACTGGCCGCACCCATTCTTCTGATTGATTATGATCCTTCTTGTAGGTATTTTAATTCCAAGACTTGGTTCAAAGACAATTCGACAAGCTGTGGGTGTGGTGGGCTGTGTCATAATGCCGCACAATGTGTTCTTACATTCTGCTCTGGTACAGTCTAGAAAGATCGATCCTCAGAAGAAAGTCCAGGTGCAAGAGGCACTGACTTACTATTCAATTGAGTCCTCAGTAGCTCTTTTTGTTTCTTTTATGATAAATTTGTTCGTTACAACCGTGTTTGCTAAGGGGTTTTATGGTACTCCACAAGCCAGTAGCATAGGACTAGTTAATGCAGGGCAGTATCTCGAGGAGAAGTACGGTGGAGGACTCTTTCCAATTCTTTATATCTGGGGTATTGGCTTGTTGGCTGCTGGACAAAGTAGTACAATAACTGGCACCTATGCTGGGCAATTTATCATGGGAGGTTTTCTCAACCTGCGTTTAAAGAAATGGATGAGGGCATTGATAACACGGAGTTTTGCTATTATCCCTACTATTATTGTTGCAATCATTTTCAACACATCTGAAGCTTCGTTGGATATTCTGAATGAGTGGCTTAATGTGCTCCAGTCGATGCAGATTCCTTTCGCGCTTATCCCTCTTCTGACCTTGGTAGCCAAGGAGCAGGTCATGGGGGTATTTAAAATCGGGCCTGTTCTTGAGGTAAACTGTTGACTCACATTTCTAGTAAGTTTTGTATTGTCTGTGCTGTCATGTGTGATACATTGGTAGCTGCACGGTTGAAATAGAACCAGAAAAGTTCCATGCTCAATACCTGTTGTGCTTCATGTCAGAACATCAGGCTACAGAGGTTTTGGCTTCTAGAAATTGGTTTTTCAATACCATTTTAACAGTTATAGTATTGCATCTGCAGTTTGATTTGCGGAATATATTGCCAAGGGCTTCCAGTTGCACAAAATGCAAAGTCCCTCTATGTAAATAGAAAAACAAATCAGCAAGAAGATCTGTTAGTCTAGAGACTATGCATTAACTTCATAAATTAAGAAACCAATTTTTCATATTTTCTCCTCTGTCTGCTATGTAGTTCTAGCATTTAGATTGCCGGCCATGACAAATCTATCATTTCATGTAGTTTAAGACTTCTTATAATCTTCTCAAGCTGCAAACGACCTTTCAATTGTTTACTAGCACCTATGTGCTTTCAGCAAATTTGTATTTTGTGTCTGAAAATGAGTATAAATGAGATCAATCATCTTCTATATAAAAGATGATTCCCAATTGATATAAACTTTTGCATCATTTTTTCTGTATCTAATGTTCTGCTCATTTATGTTGTAGAGACTGGCGTGGACTATTGCTGTCCTGGTTATCCTGATCAATGGGTATCTTTTGATTGATTTCTTTATATCTGAAGTTAAGGGCTTGCTCTTCGGCTTTCTGATTGGAAGTGGCACGGTTGCATATGTATCATTTATCATTTATCTTGTTTCTCGTTGCGGTACAAGTCCTTCTAATGGGCTCAGCTTAGAACTATCGGAGAGGATTACTTGCAATGGAAATTGAGTTGGTGCAGCTTGCAGAAACCTCAGACCATTAGAATAATGACAGTCATTCAGAGGCTGCCATGCGATATATAATATGACACATTGAGATCCTTTCGACAAGTAAAATTCACATTTATGTTTGGAATCACTAACCTTGGTGCATGCATAAAGCAAGTGTAAAATGTAAAACAATCAATGTAGCAGGTCCCCTCAACAATTTCGCTCGAAGAAGCCTGATGGTCATGTTCCTATCATCAACCACGGAAGAACATTCTTTTCTCTGCTTTGGTGGTTGAAGGACCACAGTTTAGCAAGAAGATACGTTGATGCGCGTGCCTTGTTTGCCTCTACGAAATTCTAGGATGAGCTTGTTATTTTTTGACGTGACAGTTTGTCTGTACGATAGTCAACCTAGCACTGTTAGTTCCGTTCAATACAACAGAATGAGTTGAACTGTTTTTTTTTACATGTACATATGTACCGTATTCGTTTCTGCAACTTTATTGCCCATCATTATTGTCTTTTCTTTTGACCTTGCTTCTAATGTGCAGTCATACAAACTCACATCTGTTCAAGAAAATTCTTCCCTTGAACACAGCTAACTTGAGAAAATCAACTTATAATGAGGGAGAATTGCTGTGTTTTAGCTGGGTTGCATATTCCGATATTAATGCAGTTGTGGAAGAACAGATGGGGTTCCATAAAAACATCATCATGGTGAAATTTCAAAAAAAATATTGTTTTGGACCAGAAAATGCCATATGCAGCCGGTGGTTTCTGTCCTATCTACCTTCTCTTTGGACGAATGTCATCTTCCTTTCTTTGAGGCCACGTTTTAGACAACCAAAGGGAGTTTCACTAATTTGTTTAAAGGATTGTACACGAGCAGCTTCTTCCTCAACGACTAATAAATAAGGTGGTCGGTGCAGTATTCAGTTTTCCCCAAACGCAACAGTACAGTTCTACAGTGTGTGCTTAAAGAGGCCGTGTGTACCAGTGGAAATGGGTTTAGTTGATTCATTGTCTTTTTTTTTTTGGAATTGTGGTTAAAATATTGTTTGTTTAAAATTTATTTTTTATTTAAAATTATATTTTTATGTTTCTGAATTATTTTAATGTGCATATATTAAAAATAAATTTTAAAAATATAAAAAATATTATTTTAATTTAATGTGTATATATCAAAAATAAATTTTAAAAATAAAAAATATTATTTTAATATATTTACAAATAAAAAATACTTTGAAAAACAACCATTAATACAATTAAACAACCATTAATACAATTACTCTAGCATGGTGGCTTAATAACACTGGGTATTTTTATTTTTGGAGGAATCCCGGGTTGTAGCATCTTTTCTATATTCATGAAAAAAAATTAAATCTTTTTTTGTAAGGGAAAAAAAAAAGATTTTGCCTTGATACTTGAAAAATTAGCATGCTCAAGGTGCAAATTGATCATGGTTACTTTTGTTGCTTCTATTTTTAACTTTCTATAACCACAAGAAATTATACCGTTTATAATTTTTCTGGTACAACCATTTATATATTTTCGATAATGTTATGTATTTGTCTTCTTTCATCTTTTCATTTTTATATTCATTCGTCTTTTGCAAGTTCATTTAAATTCTATATCTTCTTATCATATTTGAGCTTATAAATATTAATGTATATTATTATACTATAAATAGAAGTATTGTTGAAATTACGTTGGGGTACGACTACCTTCATGTCAGGTAAGCATGTGGACATCAATAATATTTTTTTTACCATGGTGTTGGTGTCACTGCAGGATGCTCAGTACATCTCGGATCACTGGGCACAACTATCGTACCACCTCCCTCTATAAAGGTCAAGTCAGCTACTGAAGCTCTGTAAGTGAATCGGTCATTCTGCACATTTAAAAAGCATATGAGATGGTCATGCTATGCAATGCAAAAAGACACAAAAGTAGAAAGAATGGATCAATAGCATTAAAAAAAAAAAAAAACCAATGACCTTGTTTTTTAATGGACCTTGTGATAATATGGATCCATGCAAAGAACTTCCTTGATTATCTTTCTATTTTCATTAATTTATTCTTCAATCGATCTAATAGCGTTTGCGAAAGGCGGGAGCCGCTGAATTTGAAGTGGCATTTGGCCAAAGCCGAGAAATAAAAGGTTAAGTGTGTTAGAAGGCAAAGAATAAATGACAAAAAACAATGTAAAGGATCAAAGTGAAGAGTAGACAGTGCATTGATGCTTATATGGGAGAAGCTCAGAAATCTCTAGATTAAAATACCATAGGGACAGCAGTGCCAATGAGGTTGGGATTTCCTTAGAAATAAAGAAAATAAACGAAAGTGAGAATAGGAAAAATAAGGATTTCCTTTGAAAAAAAGCAAATCAAATGTTAGTTTGCAAGGAAAATTACAAAAAAAGAAAAGAAAAGAAAAGAGGTGGACATCATTTATAGTAGAAAGTCAGTTGCATGGCGAAAGTAGTCTTGAAATTCGCTGACCTAGTAGCCAGCAAAAACAGCAAGCACTGGTTCTTATTGACCGTCTAGAGCGGTGTCATCAAAGCTTAGAGCAACATCAACCCAAAGAGTAATCTTAAGCTCGTTGCCCCTGAACAAAGGATGGAAACCAATAAGTTAGCATGACACAGATAATGGTAAAATAAAAATAAAAATAGGTATGTTTAAACAACCTGATATTATCCATAATAAACTCTCGCTTGAAAACAAGTGTCTATCGTCAAACTAAGATTTGTTCAAGTGGCTGAACCACTTTGAGTCTGCTAAGAACATCTTAAGAAAAGTATGTGCAAAACTTGTTAGTGATATGAAGGCAAATAAAAATTGTTAAGAAGTTGTTAAAAGTATATTATAGAAGCGTGTGTTCATACCAGTGAGTATCCTTGGCCCTCTTCCTCTGGCTAGGACATGTGCAAAATCCGTGAAGTTAAAATAGTAGCATTGCTTAAGAGGTGTTAGAGCATCAAGTCTAGCAACTTTGGTATTAGATTTGAAATCAATAACTATTTTATGGTTGGCAATAGAGTTCGGGTACCTATTTTTTAAGGTGTAGAACCCTTGAATTTCATAGCAATCACCCTCGAGTATGGAAGCAGCAGATAGTTGTATATCTTTACCCTTAGATGTTCCTGATTGTGCCTCCCTGTGAATGACGAGGGAATTGAAAAAAAAATAAAAGAAGCTATAAATGTTACGTGACAAAAATCATGATAAAGAATTATCTGACCTGACAACAACAAGCAATTGAAACTGCTTGTTTCATCCTTTAGTTTTGGCACCCAGACATGACACCTGAGCACGGAGGGATGCATGGAAGATGTATTTCTTGATGTTATTGATAGAAAACACCATTGACTCAAAAATTAAAAATGAGAAAATGTTAGACGCAATGATCATAACAAAAATACAAAGTGCAGGTTATGAACTCCCCAAACATCGACAAAAACAACAAAAACCTCATAAGTTTTGTCTTAGCTTAAATATGCAGTAGCCTGCATCCATTGATAAATCAAGATGAAAGGCGATGCTATTTTTGGCCTGAGCAATTCTCGAACAACATTATTTATCAAACACCCTTTCACCTTCAATTCTCATAAAAATTCTTTAAAAGTTTGACTGTTAGCAATAGTCATATAATCCCATTAAACTCACTTAGGATGGCAATCCCTCAACAACTATCTGTTCCCATCATGTCTCTTTATGATTGAACCTAATAACATGCTAAAAAGGAACATTGCTCCTATAATATATGGCTCTATGAGCAATAGAAAGGACGCTCCTCAATGATAAAAAATGACAACGAAAATAACTTGGACAATAAAAAATATGGACAATCAGTTAGCCTTACAGTTAGTTTCCCACCACATTAAAAATGTATAAAATAAAAAGAGGCATGGTCCAACCACAATACACACATTCTTTCTTTTCTATTGCAACCAAAACATGTATATATCTATACATATATACACACCTTATAAAAAAAAAAAAAAACAAACAAAAGCTTCCTAAAGCTCAAACTTAAAAGATAAAAACATAATAACTTAATTCCCAATTTAATTTTTTATCCTTGCGTGCACGCACACACCCTCTTTCTATGATATTCGTTTAACAATCATATGAGCTTTGAAAACAGGAATATAATAATTTACAAAGTGGTGACACTTAACAGGAAAGAACAATATGTTGAGCCAGCATGTTTTTTTTTTTTTGGTAAATGCTAAGGTAGTGAACCACCTGCTCCAACAGAAAAACTTAACACAAAATAATTTAATTGCCAGTTTCATTTTTTATCCTTGCGTGATAACCTTAGAGGTAGGAAATCGGACACTGCATTTCTTTTCAGCACTTGGTTTAATTCTTGGTTTCAGTTGATATTTGTCATTTTTAATAATACATTGGAAATATCTATGCTCACCGTTTGATGATGAATTTGATAGCTGCACTTTTTCAAAATAAGGAGAAACAGATCCTTGTGGAGCTTAATATTTTGGAAAGGCATGCCAAATTATGGAGATATATTTTTTTTAAAATCATTAAAATATTACTGAAAGAAGCTTAATTTTTTATGGAGAACCACAACATGATATTGTTTGCGAAAAAACTACATATTGGTATCAATTTAGTGCCTCTTATCGGTTTCCCTTCTTATATGACTTGGTGGAAAGTGCATGCATCCCTTCTATAGAGTGAAAGAGACCAGCCACTTATTAGACAATAGAGGATGGGTAGGATAGGTGAGCAGGATAAGATAGAAAGGATAGCATTGGTAGAATACTGGGACTAGATAAGTTTAACTTTTAGAACGTACACATGTTCTTGCATATAAGACACCTGGTTACATAAAAAAATTCCAACATTTGGAAAACTTGAATATATTACCACGTAAAGGTGGACAGTTTCTCTTGATTATGGTATAGTCCCTAACTCTCACAATCTGATTCTCATTTCTAGCTATTCCTTGAATTTCCCCACTTGCCAAAATCTAATGTGAAGTCATCTCCATCTAATATCACCTTTTGATCTGTCATAGTCTCATACATCAAAGAATTAAGCATGATAATCCTTGTAAAGGCTGCATTATCTAGTCCAAATGAATGGCAACTTCATGAAAGTTATCCAAAGCCTAAATGTGTAACCAAGAAAATTCTAACCAATAACAATCCTCTATACTGCCCCTTATGACTGTTGCCTTGATCTTTTCATAGCAAGGGTATCGTGCAAGTAGGCAAAGATTTAGCCACATTTCATTTCATTGCAATGCAAACGTTTAACTCATTTAGTCAACTAATGAAATAATCATGCTCTGAAGCTTAATCTTAAAAAAAAGTTGATTTCCCAGCACCATTAAAGTTAACACGCATTGACAGCAATAAAAAAACATGTTTTTTAATTCTCAATCACCATAATTCTTTTATAACCTCAATCTTCAGTATAAAACACATACCTCAACCCCTCCTTCCTAGCTGACCACTTTTGTCAGTTATATCCATCAAAAGCATGCCTACATAGCCATGAGACTGGTAGAAGAATCCCGTAAAATTCATAATGATTCTCTTATCCACACTGTACATTGTAATTTCAGAACCACATTTCTTTACTCAAAAGTAGCTTCTCAAATTAATTCATAAGGGTTCATGGCTCTTGTTCATCCAATCCTATTGATCAATCCCTTCATCAATGAAAATCTTCACAAAAAAAGGATCATTAATCTCTCAACCCAAACCTATATAGATTAAAAAGATTATAAAATGACCCAATTCACTAAATTTTCAAAATCACAAATATAACTTGACAGCTTTCATTGCTGCCCAAAATATAGAATCTAGGACACAATAATTCTTCACACACATATCCAGCGAGTCTTCTATTAATCCCAACTAGAAAAAAGAACAGGCTTTTCTTCCCTGCAGCTTACCAACTCTGCTAAACTATTTTGTGCTACCATTTTAAGGAATAAGACAGAGGTCAAACACCCCAAACACACACATAAAACAAATGAATCAGGGGAGATTGGCAGAAAAGGAGGTGCTGGAATGGTGATGTTTGAAAAAGACTCTAGACCAAGTATAAGCTTTGAAAAAGTCTGTGTGTGCAGGGGAAAAAAAAAATGTACAATTCATTACTCCAGTCTCACAGCTTGTCTCTAATCTATATTTCATAACACATGCTTGTTGCATCGAAGTCTAAAAGCAAGCCATAACATTAAGAAACCCTTATTATGAGCAAGGCAATCTTCATTGGCCATATTACATTTTTAAACGTAGGCTAGCATCATGACCATCTTTTACAAAAATGACATGACAACCAAACAACCGAGATTTCAAGAAGATATAAATGTAGATAACATCAAGCGTGCCTAAATAAATGCACACAAATCCAGCTTATGAGACAGAAATGGTTGAACCAAAATCTTGGTGTAAATAATGAACAAAAAACAAATTAATGGATTCGAAGCACTGGCAATTCACATAGATATGGCAATGACACATTTAACTCAGTGGTGCACCCTCCAACATTCAAAATAAGATGGCTGGTTGAAAGCCTCTCATCCCAAACAATGGAAGGACAAAAAACATAGAAATCAAAGGTAGCACAGTAACCACACTGGTCATGCCTAATCTTAATTTAATGACGACCCTAAACCAAGATTAAAGATCAAACCTCTTGCACTAAAACAATCACAACCAATCCAACGAATTCCATGGATTGCTTGTCCTTCACACATAGCAGGGGAAAAAAGGAAAGAAACACAGAAAAGCTGACACGAAGCAAGAGGTGATAAAGAGATAAACAAACTTATAATCAAACAGTTAGTGGACAAGGCAAGTGTTCGTACCTCAAAAAAAAGCAAATAAAAAGACAGGCAAAGAACAGAACATAAGCAAGAAAAAACAGAAGAAGATGAAGCATCTGATGACCAAATAAAAAAAGAATCACAGCCCACAAACATAGCCAAGCAAGCAATACAAAGGCACCAAGAAAAGGCAACCCATAAAAAACAATAGAGAACGATAACCCACCTGCAAAACCAAGATAGAAGCAGCAAATGAAAGGATGAGAAGCTTTGCAGGGCGTCAGAAAACCTGTCAAAAAAAAGGATGCATAAGAAAAGGCATGGTCAAAAGATAATGAAAAAAAACAGAAGCCAAAGAGCACACACCAAGAAAACAAAACTAAGAGGGCAGCAACAGGAGCCCAAGCATCAAGAAAGAATGCAGGTAAAACCACTAAGAATTTTTTTTGTTATATATACCCCAACTAATGTGAAAGTATGAAAGAAATCAAGGACACAGGCTGGACAAAAAATACCAAAAAAAAGCCCACACAAGGCATAATGAAATGACAACAGAAGCACAAACCTAATGCCATAACAAGAAAAGAAACCGAATGAAAAAAAAAAAAAAAACATAACCTGGTTACATCAAGACATGAGCAGAAACTAAGCAAGAGAGATCAATAAACTGGAAACTGGCAAGGCAGATTGAAAAGTGCCCTGTGTTGAACAGAGGGCCACCGTAGGGTGAAAGTAGGCTGTGAATTAAATGCACAATGATGGTGTTCTCTCAAACGTGGGAAAAAGCAGCCCCCACCCTAGCTCCATCCAAACCAGTCCTCACTAGTCATGCTAGAGCCACCAACAGAACTAATCAACCGATCAACACAAAGCCCATCCAACAGCAAAGATTGATAGAATCAAGCAATAAACACAGATCACCCAACACCAACCCAAGAGCCGAGAGCCACATCCCATGCTCTAAAAGAATCCAAACCCTCTGATAACCCACCCCAACCATACCAAGCAGAAGGAACTGGCAATCAAAAGAAGAGAACTCAAAGAACTATTACAATATACAGTGATATCAGTATAGATGAGCAATTCCTTTGCCATACCACGTAGTTTTTTTGTTAATGACTTCAGTCACCATTTTTTGATGCTCTCTAATAATGGGTTTGGTTTAGCACACATGAACTTTTCAGGCATATAGGAATCAAAGAAAAAAATACGCTACTAACAATTTTGATTCTCGATGTTGATAATAAGTCAAAATTACTAGAAACATGTGAGGATTATTGTGGGAAATGCAATGGAAATTGTTGTAGTTAGTTGCAACTTACAACTAGGCTGTAAAGTTGCTTGCGTGATCCCAATCATCCATTTCCGTTACAAAGAGCTCTCGTGGAAGCTGCCAAGTCTTTATAGACAATCTGGTAGTCTCCTTTCATTTGACTTTGACTATCATGTCACTTCCAATCAGAATTTCTCCACAAAACCCTGGCAAGGTTACCCTCCCTTGCCAAAAACGGTAACGATTCCCCTCCTCGGTTATTTCGTCTTGTGGTCGCACGTTACTTCCGGTTTCCAACCAATAATTGGTTTTTTTAATTAAAAACCCTAACATAAAAAATTAAAATTCTTCACAAAATAATATTTTTTAAAAGAAATTTGTGAAATAATATATTTTTATTTTTTTATATGTTTAAAATATAATATTTATTAAATGATATTATTTTTAAATCCAATAAAATAATTATCGCTTATTTAAATATGTTATATTTTTTTAAGTGCAGCAACAACCACCAATTAGTCATTTTACATGTAATTTTATGAATATTTTTTGTTTAAATAAATAATTTTTTTAACTTATCAATTAAAAATAGACTCTAATTAAAATTTTATAAAATTATTATTTATATAATAATTTTCATGAATGATTCTAAACAATCAAGTATGTGTTTATCATAACTAGATAAGGATTTGCAAAGTTTTTTATAGGAATTTTCTAGACTATTTTAATATTTTTTTCTAGGCAAATGTATTTTTGAAATGCACCTAAAAAGAGAGTAGAGGATGTAAAACCAAATAGACATTTAGTTTATTATATGAATGTACAACGATCTTTTCAAATTCATATGAATGGTATTTGGGTATTAGGTGTGAGTTTATTAGCCTCTATTTAAAAAAAAAATTAAAAAGCAATAATATATCAGTCAAAGTCATTTTTTTAAAGATTAGCATAGTAAATTAAGAGTTGTGGTAGAAGAACACAATTTAAAAAGGTATTGGCAAAATAACACACTTTGATATTGTTGCACTTCTAAAGCTTGACTTTTACTAGATATTGCGTTTCAGAAATGCGATATGTTATGTAATTTAAACATATCTCCAGATATAAGAACACAAAAACACAAAAGCAATTCCCTTCTTCTCTCTCAACAAACTAATACCCTCAGCTTATATCTCTCTATAAAACCCAACCAAACACTTGTTTTCCCTTTAAAACGCCCAAAAACCAAACTCATCGTGGTCTTTAAGTATCATTGGTTGTTTTTTTTGTTAAAAATTTACTATTGTCGTCGCTGCCATCTTTGCCAACAAATCCTCATTCCTTTTTCTAGTCCTACCAATATTACATTATTATGAATTTATGTTTGGTTTGGTTGAAATAAAATAATTGTTTAAATTAAATTTAGAGTTTATGGTGAATTTAGGATTTGTTAAATTAATAATAAATTAATTTTAAAAACCATCAATTAGAGTTGATTTGATATTGTCACGAGGTAAATTTTTGCTCCACAAAAAAACCTGTATGATAGCCTAGTTCCTCACTAGACCCAGCCTTCCCTCACCAATTTCACTCGTGTTTGCCTCACTAGAGAGCTTTTCTTAAGTTAGAAGACAAACAGAATGCACAAGTAGAATGAGTTAATCAAAGTGCATAATATGCTTTATAGGAACTCCTTTCCAACATTTATTAATCTTATAAATAAAGAGAAGTATACACAAATCCATATGACGCTATGCATAAAGATTGCATGCTATACCAAGCTTACATTCCTATTTCGTGTTACAAATCATTGTTATTGCTGGGTCTTGTAGCCATCTAGCTTAAATGGCCATTGCATTTCTATCCTTTACCTTTAGTGAATAAATTGTCATCAGAAGTTTCAAGTGCAGAAGGTACAAAAGTACTTTGCCTCTCTATTTCTAAATGTCATGCATGTCGAGAACAAGTGCTTCAAACTTCTGATAGCAATATTAAGAGTTGAATATGAAAATAAGTTTACTTAATGATGAATTAATTATTTTAATTAATTATGTGTCGCGTTTAATTTTGGATAAGTTGATGAATTAGAGATTTTATATAGATTGTTAGAATCAGCTAATAATTTAATTTACCATGCTTGATGATTTTATACAACAAAGAATGAATGCAGTAGAATTATAAAAAATTACATGTTGCATTAAATTGTTGATAATTTGATGAATTTAATATTTTCATTGAATAATTTTAATTTGCTATAAATTTGGATTTGATTTAATTTATTGATCATAAAAATATCCATTAGGTTTTGTATCATGAATTTTAATTTTAATGAAATCTTATTGAATTTGTCATGAATTTTGTCTATTAGGGTTGGGGTAATGTAATTTTGTTAAAATTACATCCAATTGACCATAACCTTTTTTTTTTACAAAATATCTTATAATATATTTATATTATGTCATTATAGTGGCTCTATTATTCATGATGTAAACGGTAGTATTATATATAATGATGGGAGTAGTTTGTTGTTAAAGGGTAATTTAGGCATATCATATGAAAAAATGAAAGCAATTATTTTGTCATGAATTCGGTGAAATTATAATGATATTGATGCTGAAATAACTTAAAGGTGTCAAATTGGTGAATATCAAAGTTATCCTGTAAAAATTATGTGTGATAGTAGTTTTAAGACAATAATTAATTCTTTTCATCTAAAATGGTTTGAACATGACAAATATCATGGTGTGCACGATGTCGAATGATAATTTTTTCTCCTGAATCAAAAAGGTTTCATATGTGTTGTGGTAAATCATAAAATTATGATATGAAAGATTCAAAAGTTGTCACATAATATTATACTAATTAGAAAACCTAATGGTCTACAAGAGTTTGGATAAGTAGATTACTTGTGCATGTAAAAGACACATTACTTTCAATGCATTTTACCTATTGTAAGCTGCATTATTGATTGATTATTATTTTTTTTCTAAATATTATTTTTATTCATTAGTCCATTTAAAGTTAAAAAAAGGTCCTGATCTCATCAAACTAAAAGTAACCATTCTAATGTCCAAAATTTAATGGTGCATTTACTTTTATTTGTATTTTTAATAGGTGAAGATATATTTTACATTGTAATTTTATATCCTCAAATATTAAAATCTATAATTAATTCCTAATATTTTATTTTGTTTTATTTTATTCATTTAATTTAATATCGAGAATATACATTACACCGTAAAATTTATAATTCGAATATTAATTAAACAAATTAGTTTTGTGATGTTTTTAAAATTTTAGTCAAATCTTAATAGATAATTATAAACTGGTTATAATACTTATTGATTGATTTTTGCCCTTATATTAAATAAAATGGTTAGAGAATATATGAGGGACCCATAAATAATTTAAAATAATCCCTGAATTATTTTAGAGTTTTTAGAAATCATTTAGGGTTTGGTTGTCAAAACATAATAATGTGTTTTAAATTAAACAATATACTAATTAAAAACAAGTTATTATCTCACCATTAACCAACTTAATAATCCAACAAACAAACAATCAATTGTCAAATTTTGTTAATCTAAAAAATTATATTCAAATTTTATACTATTTAAACAAATCAACACAAGCCCAAACATAATTCAAGAATTAATGTCCAAAAAGCAATAACAACCTATAAAATAAACTCATAATTCAACATAAATAATCAAATCACTTTAAAATAAAAAACACATTTAAATCAAATTAATATTGTCCAAATGGTTTAAATAATATACATAACAATCAACATTATGTCCCGAATTTCACAATATTATAATAATTTATTCAAAAAAATAATTTAAGGTTATGAATCAACCTTTCAAGGTGTTTAGAGTATTTAAAAACTATTGGAATTAAAGTTAGAGGACCGCTAGAATAATGGTGGCACCTGTATCCACACATTGCCATTATTGGTAGTGTGTGGGTTCACGCGTTGCCGCAAGAGAGGCAAGAAGGATGAGGTGATTTGGAATGGTTCCTCTTTTTTTTTTTTTCATATAATGATGGTATCATTAATGGAGAACTAAAAAAGAAAAGACACATATACAATAAGTTTCAATTTCCTTATTATTCTCATAAAAGGATCTTCTTTTCTAGCCCTCTCTTGGATTATTACTAGTGTTTGTTATTGTCAATGGCTAGTGTAAAGGTATGTTGGTTGATGGTTGAGGTTGGGAGGGGAGGTGGTCATAAATCATGAAGCCAAGGCAAAGGTTTTTTTTTATCATGAGTTGGAGTTACTTAGTAGAGGCTATCACAGGTTAGCTTATTTAAAATAGAAAAGTTGTCTGTAAGGGTTAAAAAATAGAAAATTGCATGGTGATGTGGTAATGGTAGGTCAGTTTGACAATAAAGATTGAAAGGTTTTGATAGTTGGTTATTAAATTTAGGTTACTGACATTGAGTTTTCATATTAGTGAGGATAGAAAAATTAGAGTGGTAGTTAATAGTTATAAAGATAGGCCGAGTGGTTTGTAGGTATGGTTCATACAATGACTGACGTTAATAAGTCTTTGTTATTGCCAATGGCAATGATGGGTTATGGTAGAGATGGATTGATTTTGGTGTTTGTTTTAGTTGATATTAGGAACAAAGCTATAGGGGTTGGACGATATAGCATTAATGTTTCTTTTCCATTGCGGGTGACTTGCTAAAATGAAGAAAAGTGATGAAATGGGTTAATGTTTAAGATTAATTTGATGTTTCTATTTAAGTTTATTTTCTCTAGCAAATTTTAATTGAGAGAGAGAAGAGATTAGATAGATGTTGTATTTGGCTAGTTTGATTTAAAAGAATGAGAGGTTGTCACAGTTGCTGGGTGTTATTATATGTGGGCTAGGAAATCGTTGTTATAAAGAGGAACTGCTAGTATGGGTTACTATCAAAGGAACTTTAATTGGTTGGAAGTTGAAGCAAGTACGTCATTTTGAGGTGGAGCTACCATAGGTGATGGCTTGTGATGCCAGGTAAGGCAACTGGTGGTGGTTGATGGCGATAATAATAGTTAAGAAAAGGTTTTGGATATCAAGAAAGGGAGAGAATGTTGTTAACGTGTGTGTGTCTTTTTATCACTTTTTTTTGCTTATTTTTTAATTTTTATGTTGGAGAGTGTGAGTTTGTAGAAAATGTAGACTTTTTTTGTTTTTTTCCATAAGAATCTTTATTGTTGTTATATTTGTTTCTTTTTACAGGAGAGGGAGTGTTTTAGTGATTATATATGGTTTTTTCCCTCTCCCTCCCTTGTGAAATTTCTTCACCATTTTATAGGCAAAAATTTTTTTGTCTCTTCTTTCCTAATTGCTTAGTGATCAAAAATCAAATTCACTTTAGTCTTTAATTTTTTTTCCCTA